CATTGATCCTCTTATCATTATGTAATATCCTTCTTTGCTTCTTTTGATCTTTGCTGCTTTAAAGCAACTCCTGCTTTTTATTTATTTATTTATTTTTGCTCTCCATTTGGTTGGTAAATTTTTCTCCATCCCTTTGTTTTGAGTCTTTGTGTATCCTTGCATGTGAGATGGGTCTGGATGCAGCATACCAATGGGTTTTGGCTTTTTTTGCCTGTCTATGTCTTTGGATTGGGGGATTTAGCCGATTTAAAATTAGAATTAATAATAATATATGTGAGTTTAATACTGCCATTTAATGTTAGCTGGCTGTTTTGCCTATTAGTTGATGTAAATTATTGATTATGTTGATGCTCTTTACTTTTTAGTGTTTTTTAGGAAGGCTGATACTGGTTGTTCCTTTCTATGTGTAGTGGTTCTTTCAGAAGCTCTTATAAAGCAGGCCTGGTGGTGATGAAATCTCTGAGGGCTTGCTTGTTCACAAAAGATTTTATTTTTCCTTTGCTTATGAAGCTTAGTTTGGCTGGATGTAAAATTCTGGGTTGAAAGTTATTTTCTTTAAGGATGTTGAATATTGGCCCCCACTCTCTTCTGTCTTATAGGGTTTCTGCTGAGAGATCTGCTGTGAGTCTGATGGGCTTCCCTTTATGGGTAACCTGACCTTTCTCTCTGGCTGCCCTCAGTATTTTCTCCTTCATTTCAACCCTGGTGAATCTGGCGATTATGTGCCTTGAGGTTGCTTTTCTTGACGAATATCTTTGTGGTGTTCTCTGTATTTCCTGGAGTTGAATATTGTCCTGTCTTTCTAGGTTGCGAAAGTTTTCCTGAATAATATCCTGAAGTGTATTTTCCAGCTTGGATTGATTCTTGGGAACTTCTTAAATAAACTGTAGTAGAATCAACCCTATGTATCTGTAGATCCCACACTTATGGGACCAATCAACTGCATTGGAACTATTCACACAAATAAATAAATAAATATAATAAAAAATTACTTTACAAGTTTAAAAATAGCAGCCTTTTAAAACACAGTATAATTATTTACATAGCATTTACATTGTATTAAGTATTATAAGTAATCTAGAGATGGCTTAACTTATACAAGAGGACATGCATAAGTTACATGCAAACACTACATCACCTTATATAAGGTACTGAGCATCCGCAGATTTTGGTATTCCTGAAGGTCCTAGAACCAATCTCCCAAGGATACCAAAGGCTGACCATACTTCTTTATAATAAGATATACAGCTTTTAAAAGAAGGAGTTAGCTCTACATATAATGATTGGAATAAGACATACAGTTGACCTTTGAACAACACAGGATTAGGAGCACTGACCTTCTCAACAGTCAAAAATTCACCTATAACTGGAAGCATTATTCACAGCATAAACAGTCAACTAATACATTTTTACGTTATATGCATTATGTACTGTATTCTTAAAATATATATATCCTTATAATATAGTATGTATATCTTTATAATCTAGAGAAAGGAAAATGTTATTAAGAAAATCCTAAAGAAGAGAAAATATGCTTACTATTCATTAAGTAGAAGTGGATCATCATAAAGGTATTCACTCTTACTGTCTTCATATGAAGTCGGCTGAGGAGAAGGAGAAAGAGGAGGGGTTGGTCTTGCTGTCTCAGAGAGGCAGGGGCAGAAAAAAATCCATATATAAGTGGATCCACACAGTTTAAACCCATGTTGTCCAAGGGCTGTATTCTTAAATGAAAAAAAGATGTAAGATAAAATTTAAGATATGTTATCTATAAGACATGTTTATATGTATAGAATGCCTTTAGAAATTTATACTAAAACAAGATATTTACTTCTGGAAACCAACGTGGTTTGGAAAAGGACAGGAGTAAAAGGTAGGTTTACTTTCCAGTATCTTTTTAATTTATAGACATAGTGTCAGCAATTCAGAAATAAATAATTTAAAACTAAATTAGGGCCCAGTGCAGTGGTCCTGCGTGTAATCCCAAGACTTTTGGAGGCCAAGGTGGGAGGATCACTTGAGGTCAGGAGTTTGAGACCAGCCTGGGCAATATAGCGAGAACTTGTTTCTACAAAATATAAAAACCACAGCTAGGCAATCTGGTGCACACCTGTGGTCCCAGGCTGAGGCAGGAGGATTACTTATGCATGGGAAGTCAAGGCTCCAATAAGCAGTGATCGCACCACGGTACTCCAGCCTGAGTGATAGAGTGAGACCCTGTACCCCCCCCAAAAAAACCCCATAAATTCAAAATAAAGCATACAAAATATTAAAATATTCTAAATAATTTTTAAAATTTTTAATTGACAAATAAAAATGATTGCTTTTATTTTCATTCTATCATAGAACTTTGTGGAGAAAAATGCATGATACCTTTTCTCATCCATCATAAAGATCATGGCTGACACTCCTATAACAAAAGGCAAGTTAACAAGAGAAAAGTATAACAAATTTACTCAATCAAAGTTTTAAGTGACACAGGGGACTTCAACAAAGAAAACACAATGGCCCAGGGAAAACCATCTATTTTTATGCTTAGCTTCCGTGAAGAATGGACAACTGTATAGAAATAAAATCAGACGAAAAAGTATGATCTACTGCTAATAGATGGAGTCGGAGAACCCAGCAAGGCCTGTTTGTTCAGAGCCTCTTGGTCTCTCTGTGTAGTGTTCCTTCTCCCAGGTGTGGGGCAGGACCCTCTGGAATACGAGTCTTCAAGGGAGAAGAGGAAGAGTAACCATTCTAGGTGTGTGTTTGTTTGTTTGTGTGTTTGTTTGTTTGTTTGTTTTGAGACGGAGTTTTGCTCTTGTCTCCCAGACAGGAGTGCAATGGTGTGATCTCAGCTCATTGCAACCTTCGCCTCTCAGGTTCAAGCAATTCTCTCGCCTCAGCCTCCCAAGTAGCTGGGATTACAGGTATGCGCCACCTCGCCTGGCTAATTTTTGTATTACTAGTAGAGACAGGGTTTCACCATGTTGGCCAGGCTAGTCTCAAACCCCTGACTTCAGGTGATCCACTTGCTTTGGCCTTTCATAGTGCTAGGATTGTAGGCGTGAGCCACCATGCTTAGTCCCTTTCTAGGTTTTATGGTCATCTTTGGGGAAGAGGAGTTTTAGCTTCTATGACCCACCTTGGGGAAGAGAAATTCTGGTTTCTATGACTTACACTGGGGGAGAAAGAGGGAAGAGCACAGGAGGTCTGAGAGAACTTTTCTTCTGAGCCTGCTTCCGAGGCCTTCCAATCTCCTAAAGTTCAAAGTACTCAGCACACCAAAGCACCATACTTTGGGGTGTCGTTTTCTGAGTCCCAACAAGGGGAACATTTTAAAAGCTTGAAGTATTTCTCTTAATTCTTCAGTGTCACGTGGCTTCCACGACTGTGCATGGAAAGAAAAGATGTGAATGGCAGGCCTAGCGTCCTTGGACACACACTCAGGAACCGAGCTCCGCCGGGAGTGGGGCTGTTAGAAACTGTCTGGATTGTTTATCCTTGACATTTCTGAAAATAAAAGAAAAAAAAGATCTTGTAGATGTTTCAAGATTTTTTTAAAATTTATCATGAGCTTCGTGGCTTTCTAACTCCCAAAGATGTAAATGGAATCACATTGTCACTTTTTCAAAAACTTTCTCTCTAAGCTCCCTCCCCTAAACATTTGTTTAGTTCTTTCGTTAAGAGTTAAATAAAGATAAGCAGTGTGGTCTCTTTTCAACCTCCAAAGACCTTGTATTCATTTATCCTTCAACCTACACACTCATTTTCTTGCTCTGCTGAGAACAGAACAATGGCTGTATTTTACTGACCATTTCTCTTCGCAAAAGATCTGCATTTGGTAGGGTAAGGAGGGCCCTCTTTGGAAGTGTCACGAAAGAAAAAGGAAGAGAAATGCCTCCACCCAGGAAAACGCAGCGAGCTGTAACCGCTCTTAATGCTTTCCTCAGCCTTCATTATGCTCACATGATGAAGCAAGATGGAATGTTCAACACTATTTCGCCTTGGAAAGGAATGATTAAGTTGTTTTAAACAAACATCAGGCTATCAAATTTTGTAGAATAGATGAAGAATGTGTATCATCTGTATTTTCCTCCTTTTACTGGTGTTTTATGCACAGTTCCTTTAAACTGAATAAAACATCATAAAGATTGAAAGGAATATCCCACTTACCATATTTATAAATCTAGGAAAACAAGTCTATCCATAAAATGAATATTGAAGATATTTCTCAGTGAGGAATAGCCTGATTGCTATTGCAAATACCTCTCAAGGTAATAAGCCTAACTATTAAGAACCAATAGTTCTACATCTTCATCCTACAGGGTTTCAATAGAGATGACGAGAAAGACCTATAAATCAGAAACAAATATCCAGAAGGCTGAACCATCTCCAGGAATCAAGAAAGTTTATTATATGCCACCCACTTGAACTGGAGAATATCAATTTATTCCAATATCTAATTTTCTCCCACAATATTTTTGCTTTGCCAAATAGAATATTAAAATCCTTCAAATGTGAGTCCTTTCTCATATGATTTCGAATTTAAAACTATATAATGAGGATTCACATGCATTACTCATACACATGTATTTGCAAATTCGTCTTTGCATTTCGAACTCAAAATATATGCGATCAGCTCGTAAAGCACCACCTCTGAGGACTTCGTGGATCGTGGGGAAATGTGGGTTGGCTTCTCCCTCTCCTGCCATCATCAGTCAGAAATTCAAACCCATTTAAAAATCAGCCTCTCCTAAACATAATTAGGAAAATGAATCCACTGTAGAAAATTTTGGGTAGTAAATCCTTTGTAATCCAGGGAACCCCTGATACTATTCAACAAAATAGGCACCAAAAGGTCTATGAGGAAAACAGCTCTTAACACATGAATTCAACAAAACCAGGCCTCTATAATAATGGTCTCTCCCCTGCCACTCTAAAGACATGTTTGTGTATTCATTAGTGCCTTGTCACCTTTTGGCAAATCACTGAGTAGTTAAGTCTTCCTTTCTATAGGCATTCAGTGATTTAATTTACAAACAAAATTTATTTTTCAAGTTACATGCATTTTACGCAGAAGGAAAAATGACTAAAAAATTATTTGCTAAAACCTACTGTGTAAACTGGTATTTTGAACATGTGATTGTGTGACCTTATCACAAAACTCATCCATGACAGATGTATCAGTTCCCTATTGTAGCTATAGCAAATTGCAAACTTAGTGGCTTAAAATAACAGAATTTCTTTTTCTCTTACAGTTGTGGAGGCCAAAAGTCCAAAATAAAACTCTGGGGCTGAAAATCCAGGAGGCAGCAGAGCTGGTTCCTTCTGGAGGCTCAGGGCAGAATCTGTTCCTTGTCTCTTCCAATTTCTGGAGTTTGCTGGCATTCCTTTGCTTGTGGCCACATCACTTCAATCATATTGCATTCTCCTCTTCTGTAGTCAAGTATCTTGCTCTGCCTCTGCCTCTTCCTCTTATAAGGATATCTGTGATTACATTTAGAACCCACAAAGATCCTTAACTTAATTACATCTGCAAAGTCCCTTCCATACAAGTTATATATTCACATGTTCTGGGATTAGAACATGGACATCTTTGGGGGACATCATTCAGCTACTACAGGTGGCATTCCCATTTTATAGATGAGGAAACTAAATGATGGTAAGCCACTTTCCCACTTTCACAGAGCTGATACAGCCATAAATCAAAGCCCTTGTAGACTCTCCTACACAAGGCAGAAGGTTTCCTGTTTGGGAATCATTTTAGAATTTTGAAATATATATTAAAAGAAAAAAAGTTAATGTGACTTAAGATCCTTATAAAAGATGGTTTTATGTGCCTCAAAAAGACATATGAAATAAAATCTGTGCTCTGTAAAAATATCCCTGGAGTTCAAGAGCTAGAAAGGGATGAAATCTTACCCCTTCTCATAAAGACTAAAATATCCTTCAAGTTTATTCATCGAAATATTCGAGCTTGTGAACATAAAGTTATTGATCCCAGATCATTTGTGGTCATTTCCTTTTTAAGCCCACAGAGATGTTCTCTTGGATTTGAGTTCTAGACGGTGCTCAGAGGACTGGAAGTAAGGAGGAGGGATAGGGCTAGGGAGAGGAGAAAGCTAAGATGACTAAACGTTGGATCTGTCAACCTTATTTTATCTGGAGCTCTACTTCTCTTTCTCTCATAGTTAGAAATCCTGACTAGGAATCCATGTGGGAGTAATATTTCTGCTGTTAAAACGAATTTGAAAAATCACTGGACTTAACCTTTAAGGACTATAATTCCTTTTGTGTCAATAACACATTGAATACATTTTGGTATGGGAGAACACAAGGAAAAAATAGAGAGTAAGGGAGCCTGAATCTCTACATAGTTAGTTCCTCCATCTTTTTTTGCCATTTCCAAAATGGTTGCCCATCTTTCCAGGCAATTTGGCCAGATCACAGTCTTTATGAGTTGTGAAGCTGGTCAGAATGAATGGATCAGCTGTGCTCCACATAGCATGTTCAGTAACTCTTTTCAGCCGCTAGGGTCTCTTTAGTGAACCACTTCTTCAAGTGTGCTAGTCTATCATCATAGCAATAAACACTTAAAGCCCTCTTGACGTCACCCATTGACTCCCTTCTCAGAGAGCCACATATGTAGGCACTTCAGTTGTTTCTACAAACACACAGTGGTTGGGGGACAAACAAAGTGAAAAACACTGTTTATTTTGCAAACAACTGCTCAGACATTATATATTCCTCTAAATTAATAAACTGTTTTCAAAATAACTTGGCTGAATCCAGTCTTTTTTATACCTTCCAACCAGTCTTTGTTTGTTGATACATTCTTTTATATTTGTGAGAGGTACATAAAGACTTCCTCAAGGACATGAGGCTCCTGGTGCAACCATCTCATGACCTCAGCTCACACAAGGAGATATTGTAGAAGTTACCTCTATTGTGTAGCTTCCTCTCCTGGTAACAGTATGTAGTGAAGAGTCTGGAAATTACACTAATGATTGTGGACCACCAGAATACTTTAGTATTCAATACCTTCAACCAAGACCC